TATCTTTAATAATAAATACATTTTCAAAAAAAAAAAAAAAAAAAAAAAAAAAACATAAGCTCAATGTATGAGCACAGCATCAGATGTGTCTAGAAAGAATTTTTTCATTTTCAAAAGAGTCGTTATCTTCTTTACTTTGAACACTTATATCACTAGAATCACTGTCATATTCATTAGTGTCGTGGTTATGTTTCATCTCTCCAAAATATGACATCTTTACTCCAAATACTTTAAATGCCTTTATCATATTACTGCCATTATCTGTAATGGTTGCTATTACCTGTTACCAAAAAAATTGTACTAACATTATATATTATATATTATATTATTTCTTTTATTATCTTTATGTTTACCATTTACCTTATTAACATCCAAATTGTACTTGTAATAAATATTATGTAATTTGTCGGCGATTCTATCATATGTATGAGCACCTCTAAATCGGCGACATGCTAGAATAGCAGTTTTTCGCCGTAACGACTCTTCGTACATCCAGTGAACAGTTACACCCATAAAACTCCTTCTTTTTGCAGATCACACATCAGCAGTTGTACACAAATATTTAACTTTTTCCAAAGTAATTTTTACATCCTCAATATTTTGTTCAAAACGAGTTTCAATTCTTCTCCCAAGACTTCGACGACTAATTAAATTTAAACTGTTTTTTTCAAGAACTCCAGAATCGATAAAAATTTTCTTAACAAAATGATTATCTACTGTACGTAAAGGTGCCATTGCATGAATAATATAATTGACTATGTCTTCATCAAATTGATTTTGAGGATATTTAATCATTTTATTTTTATTTTTACAATTTATAATTTCCATGTTGGATTCTTCAAATTTGGTTTTTTTTTGATTTTCGAACTTGATTAATGTACTTTCCATAATCTTCCAAAACCAAATTATCGTGTTTCCTCTTTAAGTGAGATTTAAAATTGGATGATGAATATTTGGACCCCTTGATGTTGACATTTTTTGGCTCACATTTAACACAACTAGCTAATACATTTTTTGAATCAGAAGAAACTAATTTAAAAAAAGTACCATCAAGTATAGTAGCCATTGAAATTGATTCGGAAGACCGTGGTTTATCTCGGGAAATAGTATTAAGCTCCGAAAGTTATATACTTTGAGATGAACATGGGTCACTTTCATCAGTTTCATCTGTATGAATTAAAGTATCACTGTCACTCGTATTACTTGTATCATTTGTAGTTTTTAAACTCATTTTACGGACTTATAAATAATTAAAGACAAATTAGTATAATTGTGTCGAACGGTTAAACGCTTATACTACACTAAACAAAATCACAATTCACAGTACATATATAAAATCATATATTTAATAATTTATTTAACTGACAGTCGGAATTATCGTTCCTATAAACGAAAATATTGTTATTATTAGTTTTGTTTAGTCTAAGACTACATTTATAAGATAAAATATTATCTACGTTTTCAAGTTGAAGACATAATAACGTATTATCTTCGACTACCCAACTCATAATTATCCGACTAATTTAACCCTTAGCTACACGCGCCATTTTTTTTTCAATAATTACACGCGCGGTGTATTTTATACACCAATTTTCATTTAAAATAATTCAAATTTAATAAAATAAATAAATACAATGGTTATAATAAAATAATAACTACTAGCCCGTTTATACATAAACGAAAGAACTTTACTAGTGATTATCCGGTATTCGTCAAGCAGACGCGCGAGATACAGCTCTCGTACCACTTATTATACTTGATATTTTTAAAAATTTTGACAAAACACCCCGCTCTTCCACTACATCAGTGATATGTGTGTTCATGTGACCATTGAATGGCACGTGTCAATAAGATAAAAACCGCCACGGTCGTTCATAAATAATAAATAATAATCATAAGATAATATAATGAGATAATGTTGTCGGTCGATGAGCAATAAAAGTTATTACATATTGAAAAATGATATAAATGATTTTACATTAAATCATATTATATCTTTTTCTGCAATTCATAGTTCCGAAAAAAGTTTAACATTCAAGTGCGAGGCCCTGGGCATGGGCCCCGCAAGCCCCCCCCCCCTAAGAGTAGCCCTGACGGCCGTTATTTAGAATTTAAATTTATTATTTATATGATTATGGGGAATAATGAATAACAAATAATGAATAACGAATTACCGAATAATGAATAAAATATAGTAAATAAAAATCTCGGAATAATGAATAACGAATAATAATACAAATTAAAATAATGAATAAAAATAAAAATCAATAATAAAATTAAGAATAAATCAATGAAGAATAATTTTTTATTCAAATAATCAATCGAATAATATTTTATTCGACTAATGCTCAACTCTGCAACCAAGTGATGTTTGGTGACTGCAAAACGGCAACGGATATTTTTTTAAAACAAATTAATCCTATCATAGAAAATATTTTGGACCAGAGTAATTTGTACGCAACTCAAAAAAATAAAAATCTCAATCTACACGAAAATGAATTACTCTCTTTTTTTGGAATTAATTTTTGTATGAGGTATAATAAACTACCTTCATATAAACATTATTGGAAGGGGGCCAAAAATTTAAATGTGCCAGGTATTTCCGAAGTTATGACAAAAGATCGATTTGTAGAAATACTATCTAATATTCACGTCAATAATAATGAAAATATTCCTCAGAACAATAAAGACAAATTGTTCAAATTACGTCCTATGATAGATAGTTTGAACCAAATATTTTTGAAGTCTTCTTCTGGAACTCGTGAACTTAGTGTCGACGAGTCTATGATTAAATTCAAGGATTGCAGTACGTTAAAACAATATAATCCTACGAAACCCATAAAAAGGGGGTATAAATTGTGGTGTATTGCAGACCAGAACGGATATATTATGAAATTTTCGGTGTACCAAGGAAAAAACGAAACGTTAGAAAAGCAGTTCGAGAACACTAATTTGGGAGAAAGAATTGTATTGCAGTTGACAAAACCATTTTGGAACGAATCTAGACTTGTATTTTTCGATAACTATTTTACAACTATTCCACTCCTGGAAAAGTTGAAAACGCAACATACACTAGCGTGTGGTACTATCAGACAAAATCGTTAAGGGATGCCACAAAATTTTGAAATACCTCGTTGAGAATTTGATTATCGATTTTCTACTTCAGGTATTGGAATCTTCAAATGGAAAGATAACAAAGTGGTACATATTGCGTCAAACTATCACGGTAACGAAAAAACATAATGATAATTCCATTCTTAAATTATTAGCGCATTGGACAGTTGAAAATAATATTACCTTATCTGCATTCTCAACATTATTAAAGATCTTAAAGACTCATAGCTGTTTTAATCATTTTCCAGTAAATGCTAGAACTGTGTTAAAGACAAATAAATCTAATGAGCAAAATAAAATTAAAATTATTCATCCAGGATATTATTACCATTTTGGTATTAGTAATGGTTTAAAATCCCATTGTAATTTTTCATATTATGTAAATGAAAACATAATTAAATTGGTAATTGGTATTGATGGGCTACCACTTACAAAAAACTCTTCTAGCAGTTTCTGGACTATTCTTGGTTATGCTCGGGACTATTCAAATAAACCAATATGTGTTTTTGATTCGTCTTTATTGGGGTAAAGAAAAGCCATCAAATAGTAATTTATTTTTAAATGATTTGGTTGATGAACTTAAATATTTAGCTGATCATGGTATGGATACTGATTTTGGAAAAAGAATTGTAAAAGTTGAAATATTTTGCTGTGATACACCAGCTAAAAACTTTATTTTATGTACTGAAGGTCATAAACTTGTAATCGCCATCAGGCTGAGCTTGCATGTCTATTAAATCCACTTGACAGTGAGAGTTCAATTCTGATGAAAGTATAGGTTTTACAACTAAACCTTTTTTAATTGTACTGCCTTTTTTTTGACAGTGGTCACATAAATTTAAAAACATCATTATAGTCTCCCTTGTTATATTTTTATATTTCAAGTTCAATTCATACTCCATACGGTTTCTACCTCCATGTCCCACAGATGTATGTGTTTCATTAAGAAGTTGAAACAATTGTTCGTTGTAAACATAATCCTTAATTAAATTACCTTCGGATACTGGAACTACTAACTTTTCAATCCCTGATATGTTTACAACATCGTATTTTTTAATTAATTTGTAATCATCTGCAATCTTTTTTGTGGTTTTAGTTTTCACATTATTCACTTTTAAAATTAATTCATCGTATTTTACTTTATTTAAAAATACAGCATTTGCATTTTTGTTTAATATTAAATTGTTAAACTTCTCATTAAACTTTTTTTCCATTTTATGTTAGAAAATAGTACACAAATACTTAGAAAATAGTTAAAAACGTTGACCAAAAGAAAAAATAACACTTCACGCAACTGCATTACCTACACTACAATGTCAGACTACGTGACGTCACCGTCGTGACAATAATCATTAGAAAATATCGAATAGGAATTTAACGATTCGATTATGAAATATTATCTACAATACTGTGTGATCATTTTATCGTTTAGATCAGTGGTTCTCAACGGGGGCAATATCGCCCCCCAGTGGGCGGTGAAGTGTCACAGAGGGGCAATGAACTAGTTTTGGGCGGTAGGGGGGCGGTGAACTAATTTTGGGTGGTAGAGGGACGGTAAACGGTTCACGCAAAAACGTTGTAGATGGTGTCGGTGTGACCTAAAAATAATTCATACTTGATAATCCATACAATAACTATCAGTCACTACTAAATCTACGCATTGCACTATAACTTATCTTTGATTGTTGACAAATTTATTATCTTAATTATTTTAGCGATTGTGCGTTGACATTATACTTTATTATAGGTACCTATATTAACCAACCTTTTAGTACACCGTTTGATTTGACCCGCGTATGTTGTATATTAGTTTTCGTTATATTCAGTCGGTTGGTAAAGTGTTTTTTTTTAAATTGTTTTCAATTTCATAAAATTGTATTTACAAAAATGTCTGATGCAAAAAGAAAATGCCGTCAATATAATACGACGTATTTAAAGTTTGGATTTATTCCATCGCCATCCAACATACAGCTCCCTATGTGTTTAATTTGTAACAAAGTGTTCTCCAATGAGGCAATGAAACCATCTCGTTTGCAGGAACATTTGCAAAAAGTTCATCCTGACAAACAAAATAAAGATTTGTCGTTTTTCACAAATATTAGGGACAAGTTTCTGAAGGCACCATCGGTCTCAGGCTTATGCGCAGGCTCATCAAAACAATGCGATGATGGTTTGATTGCTTCTTATAATATATCGAAATTGATCGCAAAATCGGGAAAAGCCCATACCATAGGCGAAGAGTTAATACTTCCAGCTGTCAAAGAAATTTTAGAAACGGTTTTACACCATTCAGCCTCACACAGTGTAATACAAAATGTCCCATTAAGCAACGATACTGTGCGACGGCGAATCGACGAAATGGCGGAAGACGTTAAAATTTCATTATGTGAACTTCTAGTATCCACCGAATTTTCACTTCAAATCGACGAATCAACATTACCGAATAATGAGGCATTACTATAAGGCATACGTCCGGTTTGTAAACAAAGGAAAAATCGTTCAAGAAATGCTTTTTGCAAGGACCTTGATTACTGACACTAAAGGTGAATCTATTTTCAATATAGTCAAAGACTTTTTTAAAGAAAAAAATATTCCTCTTAAAAACGTTATATCTATTGCCACTGATGGAGCACCTGCAATGGTAGGACGTCATCGTGGGTTCATAGCTTTTTTTAAAAATGAAATACCCGGTATTTTAGCTATTCACTGCGGCATTCACAGACAACATTTAGTTGCAAAAAACCTCAGTGATCGTTTGCATCAGTCATTACAATATGTTATATCTGCTGTGAATAAAATTCGTAGTAATTCGTTGAACAATCGACTATTTACAAAGCTATGCAAGGAAAACGACGAAGAATTCAATCGCTTGCTTTTACACACCGAAGTTCGCTGGCTCTCCAAAGGTGCCTGCCTCAATAGGGTTTAGAATCTTTTTGATTCTGTGCTTGAGTTTCTTGAAGAGAAAGATGTAAAGCTCAAAGACAGGTTGTTACTATTTAAAAGCGATGTTGCTTATATGACCGATTTATTTGCAAAGTTTAATACCATTAATTTGCAACTGCAAGGTGACGAGCTCAATTTAATAACGTCAAAATCGGTTATTTCTGCATTCCAAAAAAAATTGACTTTGTGGAAGACCAATTTTGGTCGCCAAGAGTTCAGCCAGTTCCCAGTTTTGGCTGATCTGCACAAAAACAGTGAAATATCTTTCGACAACATACAAGTTTACTGTCAACATCTCGAGTCTTTACATATGGACTTTTCAGAACGTTTTAAGGATATTTTGTCGTTGGAAGTTCCTCAATGGGTCATGAATCCTTTTATAAATATTGAGACAGCAGAGATACAAATTCAAGAAGAACTAATCGAACTTTCAACTGATAAAACATTGAAATCCAGTTTCAAAGGTAGTGACCGGCTCACGGGATTTTGGCTTAAAACTAACATAGTTCATAATTATCCTGGACTGTGGTCTCTCGTTAAAAAATTTTTAATAGCCTTTCCTTTCTCATACCTCGTCGAGCGAGGGTTCAGCACTGTAACAGATTTGATTACAAAAAAAAGGAACCGACTGGATATCGTGACAAGAGGAGATTTACGACTTAAGCTAACAATCATCGAACCTAATATAAAAAAACTTGCTAAAAACCACCAAGTTCAACCATCTCATTGAAGCCTAGCAATATATTTTTAAAGAAAATAAAAAATGTATTTATATTTATATTTTTTTAAATAATTAATTTAATATTTATTTATTTATTTATCAATATTCATTTTTTTTAAATTAATTTCCATAATACTAGTTCTATAAATAAAAACATGAGTTATTAGATCATTTCAATTTTTTCTTTTAAATTTTCCAAATACCCTTAATTATAGAGTTCTTACATTGTAGGGGCGGTTAACAAATTTATTGACACTCAAGGGGGCGGTAACTTAAAAAAGGTTGAGAAACACTGGTTTAGATTACGGTTCGGTTCGTACTATCGCAGCTGTCGCGTTGTTGTGTACGAATAAAATACATAATTATAGTTTTGTAGTGATATTATTACGTATAAATGCTATCTGATATAAAAATGTGCAGCGCACTGTATAATTCACTTTGCCCACTTGAATCTGGACAGGGTACACTTTGCCCGGGCAATCCAGTACAATGCCCGGTCAATGTATGACAAATTTGAGTATAAAAATGATCATTCTTACATTGGCCAAATTTTTCGGGCATTGTGCACAATGTATAACAATGCCCGGATTTCCTACTTTGCCCGTAACATATATATAACTATTTCCGGCCTTCCAATATTGACGTACATTTTTTGTTTTTTATCTCAACGTTTGAAAGTTTCCATTTGTCCAGACCCAATATAGTTGGAAACTAAACAAACAGACCTTGTATCATACCATTTTACCATACATAAACTGCAGTGATTCATATTTGTAGAAATTCCAAATGCCGTTCCTCTTTCCATTTTGGCTAATTGTTTGCCAGATAATAAGGGTGGGTTTGCAAACCGATTGGTTCTAATAGTACCAACGGCGTAAATTTGGTTGGTTTGTAACCGTTCAAATAAATTAAATGTCGAAAAAAAGTTATCGAAATAAATCAAAAATTTCATGGTCGCGTTACACCCTAGCTATTTTGAATAAAATAAATAATAAAATTACTAATTAAATATATTATATACTATTTTAATACTTTATAATATTATAATGACGTAAAAGCATAATATAGGGAGTGAAATGTAATCGGTATCGTAACGACACCTGGAACGCTGACGAAGTGATTACGAAATCACGAATGCCGCGAACGTTCCGACCTAAATGTCCTCTGAGGCTGGTGTCACACGAGCGTACAAAATACGTTGGTACGCACGTACTTTTTGACGTGCGTCGTAGAATTACATTATCGCTTACAGGAGTGGTCATACGAGCAACGTGCGCTAAAAATAACGCGCGTTCGCACGGACGTCAATTTCTTATCGACGTATTTTTTCTGGAACGCACGTCAAGAATTATCAACGCGCGTTTAGAATTATACGCATTCAAATATACGTTGACACACGTTCTCACAAAGTACGGACGTATTGAAGTAAATACTACCACCTGAAATTCCTTACTTTATATTC